GCCTCGGCTGGCGCCTCCTGCACCTCTTAAGCTTCCGTGGGCGCCTGCACCTTGGCGCACGACAGCGCAACCACGAGCGCGGCTCCAAGCCGCGTGGGCTCGCTGTCGCGGTGGCTCCCCAGCGCAGCGACGGCACTGAGGATGCGCGCAACGGCGCGGCCCTCCGCGAGGCGGTACTGCGCCCTGCGCTTGGCCGCGGTGCGGTCGGGCCGCGCACGCCGGGGTGCTGCGCCAGCGAGCCCTGGCCCGGACAAGGGCTGGGGAAGGGACGCGCGGGGGGAAGGTGAGCAGAGGCCGAGGGTGGCCGCCTGGTGTGGGCTCGCCAGGTCCGAGGGGCCCGTGCCGAGCTGGCAGCTAGGAGGAGGAGGAGGAGGAGGAGGAGGAGGAGGAGGAGGAGGAGGACGAGTGTAAGCCCAAGACTCATCAACGATGTCGGAATACACCCTCCCTCCAAACTCCTCTTCACAAGTCCCTACAAGGATTGAGTTCCACTGGGGGAAGTGCCCCGTTGGGAGACACCTGTATGAAGATCCTGGAGCGTGCCAAAACACCTTTCTTGGGATTCCAACGCCACGAATCAACTTCACTGTTGTGTCTTGACGATCCCGGATCGTGCCAGAACATCATTCTGGGGACTTCAACACCGCGAATTCACGTAACTGTGGCGCCTGGACAATCTTGACCCCCTCCAAACACCACTTCTGGTACGTTGTCCAGGGGAGTCCGTGAGCTCTTGTGATTCTTTCGAACAGATGTGCGCAGCGCTCAGGCGAGAGCCACCTTCTTGGAAGGAGCCGCCCTCAGTCCGTGAAGCTCTTGCAACGTTTTAAGACGAGTCTGCGCGGCGCTGAGGCGATAATCGCATTTCGGAAGCGCCCGCCATCAATCCGCGAAGCTCTTGTACATTTAGACGAGTGTGCGCAGCGGTAAGGCGAGAGTCCCATTTTGGAAGGGGCCCGCCATCCTTCCGTGAAGCTCTTGTAGATTTTGAAGACGAGTGTGCGCAGCGGTAAGGCGAAAGGCACGTTTTGGAAGCGGCCCGCCTTCCAACAGTGATACTTTTTTCAAGTTTTAAGCTTCAGCATCGTAAACATTAAGGACGTTCAGTGCGAAACGCCCGGCGCGCCTTTGCGCCCGGCCTCAGGGTGCGACAGGGAGGAGTTGTTTATAAGGACAAAGAACTGAGGAGGGGGAGGAGGATGATGATGATGATGATGAGGAGGAGGAGGAGGGGGAGGAGGAGGAGGAGGAGGGTCGTGAGGGTCGTGATAATTTGGGCCGTTCGAAGGCCACTTGCACACAGGCGACAAAGAGGGGGGGGCGACCAAACCCCACACCAGGCAAGAGAAAGCCACCCCCGACGGAACCCGAAGGCCTCGCGCCAGGCCATCATGGCCGAGCCGCTAACACATACCGAGCTCCCGCACGGGAGCTGCGTAGACCTTGCGCCGTGCGAAGGACAGTCGCCCAACATGAGCAACTTCTGTAGCATTCGCCCAACGATGAGCTTTCTGGCCCCCTCCACGGAGATCAACACCCTGCAGTCGGAGTATGATTTTTAACAGAGTGGTCCTAGAGGTCTGGTGCGAGGTCTTGTGCGGGATGTCTTGTGCCGTCTTGTGTGGGCTCTTGCGTTGGGCTCTGGGCGTCGATGCGCGTTCTCTTGCTTCGTTCTCTTGTACGCGTCGTCTTGTGCGCGTCTTGTGCGCGACCACAATTCGCTCGACGATTGTTTCCGTTAAACATTGTAGCACTTCACCAGTAGGTGATTGTTTTTTGTATTAATTGTTTAGCCGATCGGCGCGGGCCCTCGCACCCCCCCGCTTCCCCCCCCCATGGAGCAGATCTTGGCTGTTTTGGGCGCCTGTTTCGAGCAGACGGAGCCTCCCCCCCATAGGACGCACGGTTCCAAACAGTCGCGTTAAGCAGAGGTCCGGGACCCCTCCCCCTCCCCCCCCCCTTCCGCCCAATGTCGAAACGCCGAATAAAAAAACGATCACCAGTAGATTATCGTGCCAAACCCGCGGAGCATGCGCCACGTTGGACACCGACTCCGAGCAGCATGCGCCGCCCAGCCTGGGCCCGATGGCTCCAGCTGCCAGCAGATCATCCGTGCACTTGTGGAGCTCCGGGTCTGAGGAGGGTCTCCATCGCGTGGACAATTATTGGGAACCAATGCGCAGTGTACGGTTTCCCCTGGGGCCGTTGGCGACCCGAGGAGGAGGAGGAGGGGGAGGGGGAGGAGGAGAGAGGAGGACGGGTCGCCTAAGCCCGCCCAAGCCCTTCGGAGAAACCTTCGTGGAGGGTTTCTCCGAAGGGCTCAGGCGACCCGTCCTCCTCCTCTCCTCCTCCTCCTCCTCCTCCTCCTCCTCCTCCTCCTCCTCCTCCCCCTCCTCCTCCTCCTCCTCCTCCTCCTCCTCCTCCTCCTCCTCCTCCTCCTCCTCCTCCTCCTCCTCCTCCTGCTCTCCTCCGGTCGCCTACGGCCCCGGGGGAAACCGCC